GAAAGCTTTAAGCTTATGCCACACACTAAGACCATGAGTTCCAAAATTCTAGGCATGAGAAATTAAACAGTCTCAATAAAATTAGGATGATCAACTATGCAATTCAAGAACCTGAATGGTCTGCCCTTCCCAGCTGGAGCAGGACAAATATCAATCAGCATAGGGCTATGATCTGACAGAGAAGGAGGCAGATAAATAGTTTCAACATGATCATGAGTATCAAGCCAATTTTGATTAACTAAAGCTCTATCTACCCTAGTAAAAGTTCTAGGACTACAATGAGCCTTATTAGACCAAGAGTATAAGGCACCCTTACTTTATCTCAGTAAGGTCCAAATCTTCAACAAAAAGCTCTGAAAATCTTTGTTCTCATAATCTGACACAGAATTACCATGCACTCTATCCTGAGAACTAAGGACAGAGTTGAAATCACTAGCACAAAGCCAAAGGATATGCTGTATAGAAAGGTTTTTAATCTCTTCCCACATAGGCAACTTGTCATGAATGGAATTAAGCCCATAAATGACAGTAAATTGAATATGAGAAGAGAGATCCTTATTACACACCATATTACATCCAAGAATCCGTTTTGTGGTGGTGAAATCTATTATTTTAGGTTTTTTGAGGTGTTATAATCCATTTTTCATCTTTTTTGTGGTGTTATAAGTCAAAAAATCCTTTAAAAAAAAGTACACCTATTAGACAGGTGGTAATAAATAACAACAATGATAAAAATTCTCCCCTTTTTAAATAAAAGTTCTTTATTTATTTTATTTTTTTTGGATAAGGAGAACGACTCTAATAGACTAGAACCACTCACAAGTAAACCAACCTAGCTACGTAATTCAGGCTCTTAGGAAATAGAGGGGAAGGATAAGGTAATGTTGGGAATCCCCACTCTCACGAAATGCAAATAGTAGGAATCGAATACATAACCTTGAGGTTGTTATGAGGTGAAAATCCTAACTACAACACCGATGACTACTCGGTGTTTCATATCTCGTAATTGGACTTGAAATTTTAGTAATTTAAACTATAGTGGGGTATTATATATATTTTAGTTTAATATTTTTACAAATAATAATAATAATACCTTCATTTCATATTTTTTGCAACTTTGGAATATTTTATATCTCAAAAAGAATACCCTAAAGTTGAAAAAAAATATGAAACGGAGGTGATAATAGTGTAATATATATAAATAAAGTAGGCATTTTTGGAGAGCATTCGGAGTTCCACGTAAGAAATATACTTATTTCGACCAATAAGAAAAAAGATTTGTAATCTATTTTTGAATTAAAAATTTATGTCGCCACCTTGATAAAAGTAACGAATTAGATTTGATATATCTTAAATTTTAATGCCATGTAGATTATAATACACGAAATAAATTATTTTAATGAAAAAAAATAAAGTAAAAGTATAGGAAAAGCTAAATTTATTAATTCAATACTACGAGTATAAGAAATATAAAATAAAATAAAAAAAATAAAAAATATTTAAATGATAAAAGCTTATATAATAAAGTTTGATACCTATCATTATAAGATAAATTTTGATAGTATTTATGATAAGAAATACAAATTGTTCGTTAATTATAATTAAATTAAAATTTGTGATACCTACCATTATAAATTGACGTATCATACGACACAAATAAAATTTCGTATCAATAAAAACCCCATCAAGCGAATTTTGTGTTAGTAATTTTGTGTTAATTTTTTGTCATCAATGGCCGGGTAATTTCTAGTTTAATTTTTAAAATTCTATGTTTAAATTAGTATTTCTGATTATTACTTACATTGTATTAATTTGGGATACTCAACGATTATATGTTTATGTTTTATTTACTAAATATTTTTTTACATGCAGATCTAACACATCATACGATACAAATAAAATTTCGTATCAATACAAAACCCCATCAAGCGAATTTTGTGTTAGTAATTTTGTGTTAGTTTTAGGTCATCAATGTGCAGGTAATTTTTAAAATCTTAAGTTTAAATTTATATTTGTATTTATTAGTAACATTGTATTTATTTAGGATACATAACGATTATTTGTTTATGTAATGGCATACGATTAGATGTTGTATACTTAATATATGGATGACTTTGGTTATTATTGGAGATGATAGAAAAATTCCAATGCATTGATTTGATTTTATATTGCAACAATTTTTCATTTATTGGTAAATATATTGATTTATTTTATATAAATGTAAGGATTTAATTTATATCAATTTCAGTTTGGCTAACAGTTCACGGTTCATTTTATCCATTGATGTAGTAGGTTGGTTGTGGACGAGGTTGGTGATTCTATCGAAATAAAAGCTATGGTAAAACATTGAATAATGATTTAGGATTTAAATTATCAAAAATTTATCATCACATTAAATATTTTAACGGAAAAAATATCATATTTACAATTTATTTATATTTAATAAATTCATTATAAATTATAGTAAAAAAAAATTAAACTTTTGTAATTTTGTCTGAAATTATTAAACACAATAAATCAAATAATTAAAAATCTTAGATGAAAAAAACCGAGCATCTAATTTTTGAATTAAAAAATTATGTCGCCGCCTAGATAAGAGTAACGAATTAGATTTGATATCTAAAATTTAATGCCACGTAGATTATAATCCACGAATTAAATTATTTTAATGAAAAAAAATAAAGTAAAATTATAGGAAAAGATAAATTTATTAATTCAATACTACGAGTATAAGAAATCCAAAAAAAATATACTAAAAAATATTTAAATGATAAACGCTTATAATAAAGTTTGATACCTATCATTATAAGATAAATTTTGATAGTATTTATGATAAGAAATACAGATTATTCGTTAACTATAATTAAATTAAAATTTGTGATACCTACATTATAAATAGACACATCATACGGCACAAACAAAATTTCGTATCAATAAAAAACCCCATCAAGCGAATTTTGTGTTAGTAATTTTGTGTTAATTTTTTGTCATCAATGGCCGAGTAATTTTTAGCTTAATTTTTAAAATCCTATGCTTAAATTAGTATTTCTAATTATTACTTACATTATATTAATTTGGGATACTCAACAATTATATGTTTATGTTTTATTTACTAAATATTTTTTTACATGCAGATCTAACACATCATACGACACAAATAAAATTTTGTATCAATACAAAACCCTATCAAGCGAATTTTGTGTTAGTAATTTTGTGTAAATTTTAGGTCATCAATGTCCGGGTAATTTTTAAAATCTTATGTTTAAATATATATTTGTAATTATTAGTTACATTGTATTTATTTAGGATACTTAACAATTATTTGCTTATGTAATGGCATACGATTAGATGTTGTATACTTAATATATGGATGGGTTTGGTTATTTTTGAAGATGATAAAAAAAACTCCAATGCATAGATTTGATTTTATATCGCAATAATTTTTCATTTATTGGTACATATATAGATTTATTTTATCTAAATGTAAAGATTTAATTTATATCAATTTCAGTTTGGCTAACATTTCACGGCTTAATTTATCCATTGATGTAGTAGGTTGGTTGTGGACGAGGTTGGTAATTCTATCGAAATAAAAGATATGGTAAAACAATGAATAATGATTTAGGATTTAAATTAAAAAATTTATCATTTCACATTAAAGATTTTATATAACAGAAAAAATATCATTACAATTTATTTATATTTAATAAATTCATTATAAATTATAGTAAAAAAAATATTAAATTTTTGTAATTTTATCTGAAACTATTAAATACAATAAATCAAATAATTAAAATCTTAGATGAAAAAACCGTGCATCGCACGGGGTTCCATCTATTAATTATAATAGTAATAATAACAATAATAATAATAATAATAATAATATTGTAGGCACGCACTAGAAATGTTCTATGGGATGGAAAAGGGAAAAAAAAATGCTTCGTGCTTCAATTCGTGTTTATAATGGAGTTAGTGGCGTATTGTTGATTAGAGAGTGAATAAAAAAATGAATTTAGTAGATGATGGACCCTATTTAAATACGAAGTAGATAATAAGACTTATATTTAAAGACAAAAAATTTAAGGTAAACAAGGTTTTTTATCATAGAAAAAGAGATTTTGTGAAGATCAAAAGTCCAATAATATCAAAGTCAACATACTAAATTACTTTAGTATTACAACTGATGTATGAGAGAGTGAGGTATTGTTTAAGTGGTTAGAGCTCTCTTATTGGATTGATTCTCATTATTTGTTTTTTTGAGTCTAAAAAAAAATTAATAAAAAAATAAAAACTGATGGATGATATTTTCCTTACCTTACAAAATAAATATTTCTGAAATTATTTATATTGTTTTATGTATAAAAAGACCTCTAACCATCCATTACTATTTTATCTGTGGTTTTAAGCGTGACAAAATTTTGAAACAACGATACTTAACCATTACGGAGTAAGTATTAATCTACTACCTCCGATTTTTTTTAGTTGACACGTTTTGACTTTAACATTATTCACACACTCCCCTTTGACCGTGTTTCGTGCTTTATACGTAATGAAAAATATAGTCGTGTGGGATCTTGTTAAATTCGTCACGATATATATTTTCAAAATATTAACTTCTCATAATTTTAATTATCGATAATTGAAGATATTAATGGTTGAATTTGTGTATTGACAAACGTGACTAAAAATTCGTGTTAATTAAAAAAAACGGAGAAAGTGTATAAATTCATTGTGATTATTGTCTTTTATAACCAAATATTGCCAAACAGGCAACAGGCAAGGGTGTTATAAATATGAAAATTATGGACTTTCAATGAAATAATTGTGTGCCCCTTGAGACCCAGCAGTGACCCGTGGCTGTTGGCAGCCTGGCCTATAGATGTGAGAAAGAAGGTTAACCACGTAGAATACTATAAACTGCATAATCTTATCTATACCCATTCAAGTCAAGTCTTTTTCGTCAAACTACCATTCTTGCTAAAATATCTCTAATTACTCCCATGTGTTGTTATCAAATATCTAATTCCTGTAAAATATCTAAATAATTAATTAAGGGACCATGCATCTATATTATTTTAGCTAGCTTTTGTGGCCTCGTGGATCAATACCTCCTTTGTTGGTGTGCTCTATTTAAAGTTAAAGAATTATTGAACCTTTTGCTAATACTTCAATCCTTTCTTGGTTGTTCTTATGATGAAGAAAACAATAATGGAAGATATGACTACGCTCATGGTAATTCATTTGTTTTCATTTCTCGCTCATTTGTCTTGCAAGTATATTTATTAATTTGTCAGATTTATTGTTACACTCGAGTGTATAACAGTCATTTCAGTTTATATAAACATGTTTTGATGTGATCGTGCAGGCAGATGTATTGGCAAACTTTTTAAATGGTTCGAAAGTGTTTGAAATGGAGGTAATATATATCATATCCCATATTATATATTTGTGTGTAGAGGAAAATTGAATTAGTCACAGTTTTTGCTTTGACATTATGCTTTTCCACCTTATTAACTTGGAATGCTTGTTGTTGCTAGATGGGAATTTTTAAGGAACGTCTTGAGAAAAGCTTTACTGAAACTTTAGAGGAAGACAACAACATCAGTTACATAGTTGAAATATTACAAAGGACAACAATGGGTGAAACCAAACCCAGAGAATTAGTTGATATTTTACATGTGAAAGGATCATGTCCCATATGTCTACAGGTAATTTTTTTTATTCCATCCACGTATAGTTTTCCTATGTACACCTTTGGAATACATGCGACATTTGTCTATTTCATTTACTTTGATTACTTGCAACACATTCTATTTTAACATGAAATCAACCCCGTATTTTAACATAAAACCAACACTTATTCTCTATTGTTTCTTTCTCCCACAAGCCATCAAAAACACCCCCATTAACCCCATGTTTATTCATCATGTTCATGTAAAACTCACTTTTTTCCCTAAAACTACATGTAAACCAAGTGTTGCAAGTATTTGTGGACGTACGTTTTTTTTTTTCTCTTTTTTTTTTTTTTCATCTTCCTTTTTCCTCATCCATTTATATCTGTGTTTGTCATTGTATATACAACCATAACCTGTTATTATTGTTTGTGTAATTTTCACTTGATACCATTTTATGTTAAGATATACCAGCAACAGCATTTATACTAAACGAGCAACAACATTTCACACAATTTCTATAGCCATTTATCTAATAATCGTGCAATTTTTTCCCCTTGTATATAAACTAAACGAGACTAGGAAACATTGAAAAGAATAACTGTAATCTGTTTTTTTACTAATAGAGAAGTAAGAAGTGAAACTGTAAATCATATACTTCGTATATGCATGATGTTAGTGAAAGTTATAGCTACTAGTGTTATTTTATCCTGAAAACTAAATTGTCTTTCGAAATTATTGATCGATTAGGACTTGGAAGCTGGAAAGAAAGTGAGATGCATGATGCAATGTCATCACCAGTTTCATAAACATTGCATAGACAAATGGCTAGTCTTGAACAAATCTTGCCCCATCTGCAGAAGGAGTATCAATATGTACACCCTCTTCATTTGACAACGAAGAAATCGAAGCAAAGCATGTAAATGATTTATACGACAAATGATAAAGACAATAAGAAGCATCAACACTCGAGTGTATATAAGAATTTGTACTATGTAAGGCGCCTGAGCGTGTAAGTTACTGTGGACTTTGAATACATGACTTTTGACTAATATAGTTACATTCTTGTACCACACATGACAATATGACATCAATTGCTTTTGGAGTTCAGAGAGCTCCGATAATATAACTATTTCCTCCATCCCATATTATACTTCCTGTTTTTCTATTTTAGAGAACCAAATGTTGAATCTGTTTCTATTTTTGGATAGTATGTAAAGACCATTATACCCTCAATTTTTTTTTTAACTTTATTCATTGTACTTTCGAAATTACCTTTGAATTTTCCATTTGCTTTGTACTTTTTTAAAATTTCTCTCTCTAATTTTTGTCTATGATTGTACTTTTCACCTTTTTTATGTACTTCATTTACTTTCTCATCTCTAACTTTTGTCTGTAATTGTACTTTTCACCTTTTTTTTTTTATGTACTTCATCTACTTTCTCCTCTAATTTCTTAAATACAGTGAAAAAACACAAATAAGAACTATATATTGGGACGGAGAGAGTAGTTCTTTTTGTCTTACTATTTTAGTTCTTTATCGGCTATTTCACCAAATGTCACTAAGTAATTTCAAAATTCACCAAATGCCATCAAGTTTTTCAAAATTCACCAAATGCCACTGAGATTTAGTACAATATCACCAAATGTCATTTCCGTTAGTTGACCGTCAGTGTCCGTTAATTGACCGTTAGTTGACCTCACCACTTGTCACGTGTCACCTTCTAATTGGTCCGTTTTTTAAAAAATAAAAAATTAAACAAAAATTTAAAAAAACCAAAAATATTTAAAAAATTATTAAAAAAAAAAACCACAAACCCCAGCCACCACCCTTACCCTCTTTCATCCCCCTCACAGCCTCACCTCCATGAATTCCGACACACTCCCAGCCACCCCAGCCACTTTATCGCCCTTCCCCAACCACCCTGTTGCCCTTCCCAACTTCCCTAGCCACCCCATTCACCAACCACGACCACCCACCCTCATTCTTCACCTTCACCCACGAAACCAAGACGGCCGTACTTGTCGACTTACACATCGCCGTAAAAACAGTGAAAATGACGGCAACAAACTATCGGACAATAGAGAAGATTAGAGGGAGTGACGGTAGATTTTCTTCATATTTCGAAATTTCTGGTTTTCGGGATTTTAATTGGGGGTTTGGGGTTTGATTTGGGGAATTTTGATTTGGGGGTTTGATTTGGGGATTTTAAACTCGATATCATCTGAGATTTTTTCCTTCATCTCTTAGCTAAGTGTTTTGGGTTTCTATGGTTTCGATGTGGGTGGATTAATTGTTGTTGCTGGCTGATGGTGAGGTGGAGAGAGAGAGAGCTGCTATCTTGAGGTTGTGTGTGAGAAGGTGTGGCTGATTAATTGGTGGTTGTTTGTTGCAGGTTGGTGGCTAATTGGTTGCGCAGGGTGGAGGTGCGCGGGCTGAGAGAGGAGGTGCAGTGTTTTGTGTGGTGGCTGCATTGGTTGGAGTTGCGAGGATTTTCGAGTGTTGGTCGGAAAGATAGGGAAGGGGGACTAGTTGGCCGGAAAATGGGAACTGAGGCTGTCGGAATCCATGGGGGACTTGGTTGTGGCTTAGAAGAAGGTGGGTCATGGGTGGTTACGTTGTTGATTTTGGACGGTGTTGTTGTGATTGGGCTGGACGCCTGCCGGTGAGGGTCGCCGGCGGCAGGGGCTTCGGTCTTCGGCAGCAGTAAGGGGTTTAGGATGGGGTGGGCGGCCTGCCGGTGAGGGTGGTAGAAGGGTTGGTGGGTGGGGATTTGGTGGTACAGGGAAGGGAGATAGAGAGGATGAAGGGTTTTTTTTATTATTATTATTTTTTTTTAATTTTTTTAAATATTTTTGGTTTTTTTTTAATTTTTGTTTGATTTTTTTTTAAAAACAAATCAATCAGAAGGTGACACGTAGCAAGTGGTGGGGTCAAATAACGATCGACTAACGGACACTGACGGTCAACTAACGAAAATGACATTTGGTGATATTGTACTAAACCTCAGTGACATTTGATAAATTTTGAAAAACTTGATGGCATTTGGTGAATTTTGAAAGTAACATTTGGTGAAATAACCGGTTCTTTGTTGCATGTGGATAGGAAGTGACTACAGTCTTACGGAGTAATAAGATTTCATTTATGTTGTGATCCCAAGAGCTTGAATAGTTAAATTTACTTGTAATAAAATTGTAATAATCTAGGTACAAAAAAAAAAGTATAATTATCCTTGTAAATTTGTCATAAGAAAAATCATTGCATTCGTCACAATTAAGGCCCCATTTTATCAGTTCATCTTAAACAAAAATATTCAGTAAGAATAATTTTAGTTCAGTAAAAATAATTTTAGTTCGGTAAAACTAAGTTTAGTTCGGTAAAACTAAGTTTAGTTCACTATTATTAATTTAAGTTCAGTAAAATTCAGTAACTTTAAAGAAGAAATATAATAGAAAATCAGTAAAAATAATTTTATTTTAGTAAAATTAATTTCAGTTCAATAAAAACAATTTAAGTTCAGCAAAAATAATTTCAATTCAATAAAAATAATTTCACTTCAGCAAAATTAAGGTGAAGTAAACGGGGCCAAATAGTTTTTACAAAAATAAGTTCGTATAAGTTCATAAATTAAACGGATTAAGCTATGGTACAAGGAATATATATAAGCTCAAAAACACACTTAAAAATAAATTTTGTTATAGTGAAAATAAATTTTATTGTAAAAATAAGTTGTCTTCAAATAATATAAAATCTAGAAAATTTCAGGCATTATTTATTGAATGAAATATTTGATTTTATACATTTCATAAAAGGTGCATTCTTATGTAACAATAAATAATAAGATGTACCCCCTCTCCTTTTTTAAAATGCAACGTTTTTCATGCAAAACTTTGATTAATAATAACTTTATTTATTAATATATAAAAATAATAACAAATGAATATTTTATTCATTTAGACGATTTCAACAATCATCTACAAAACTACTTTGTATATTTTTTCATACATATAAATCACTAACATTAGACAAAGTGAATAAATTAGGTGAGATAGTGCAATACTGCAATCAGTCAAATCGTTTCAAAAAAAAAAAAAACACAAAAAAAGCGACAGAAGTGACGTATTTATAACTCTGTCTCCCATCCTATTTATATGCCTGAAACAAGTATATGGGAATTGATAATGCCAATCTAACAACAATCACAATTTTCATGTGGCTAGCCACACGGTGTGGCCGGAGTTACTTAGTCAGGGATTACTCGGTCGGTCAGTGGTTACTTGGTCAATGGTTATTCGATCAGTCATGGGTTACTCGGTCGGCCAAGGATTACTCAGTCAATCAAGGGTTACCCAATCAGTGTTTTGGTATTTGTCAACTTGCCGCACGGTGTGACTGGCCACGCCAAAAAAGCTCTGAACAACAATAGTAGTAGTGGCCTTGTCAATTGTGGTGTGTGTTTCACGAGATTTGAGGGCAGCATTGGGAGTTTGTTTCACAACTCAATATGTTCCTTGAAAAAAAATGGGGAAGAAGTGGAGGGGGAGGAAAGGAAAAGTCTAAAATGACATTAACAAGAAAGGAGGAAGTGAAAGAATAAAGGTGGCATGTAAGTAATAAGGACATAGATGAAAATTTATCTATTTACTCCTAACATAGTTCGGTTAATAACCATAATAAAGATTTGTCTTATTTTCACTTACGAATTTTCACCCACTAAAAAAGTAGGGAGTCCTAGTCAAACCACCCGACCCCTCGATTTTGAACTTTAAATTTGGATGGAATTTGTGGTAGGGTTTTTATGATTCAAACCTATACCTGATTTTAATAAATGTTGAGTTTAAGATATTAGCTCAAATGGAAAATAATGATGGTATTATAAGATTGATTATACGTGTGATGTCCTCCTATATTATTAGGTCTATATGGTTGTTGCCCTCTATTATTATGACCCGCCGTACAAGATGGTAGGCTTGATGTCACTTTTACCTAATAAAATAAAAATGGGTTTTTCTATATGATAACCCTCCAAATTTCACTTTTTTACGTTGTGTCCCTCCATTTAAAACTTTCCACGTTGTAACCCCAAAATACATTTAGTGTCTATACGGTAACCTTGATGTTATCCCGTCGTTAACAAATTCCGTTAGTGGGGTCCACTCTTCATTTTATTAATATTTTTTTAATCGATTTGCGTGTTAAAAATTGTTCCGTGAAGCGTTTTTTAGGGCTATTTTGGTCCTTCAAGGTCCAAATTGAGCTCCGATTTGGGAAAAAAAACGCAAATGCCTTTTTGCATATTAAGAAATGTCTCGATTTACGTGTTTACGTGTTTAATATGCAAAACGGGCATTTACGTTATTTTTTTCCAAAGTCGGTCGCCCCGCGTTTAAAGCAGTTCTATTCTATTTCAAATTCTAATATTTTTCTGATCATTCGACTCTCTTTTTTCCATATAAAAAGAGCTCGTTTTTCCCGTTTTTAAATCAGCTGGAACCATCAATCATAAGCTATAACCACCTAGCTCCAATCATCATAATCATCTATGTTCTTAGCCATGCTAAACACATCCTTGACACTACTAGAAATAGGCTTATTTCCGAAGGATAGCTTCCGACGGAATTTAATTCCCTCGGAAAATTTAAAATTTCCGAGGGAAATTGATTTTGTAGGAATAATTCGTCGGAAAGGTTCCCTACCAACGGAATATTCTGTTGGAATCTTTCCGACGGATTATACTTCCCTCGGAATATATGTGTGACGACGGAATATTCCCTCGGAGTGGCTTCCGACGGAATTAATTCCCTCGGAAATCACAGGTTCCGACGGAAAAATCCGTCGGAAACTGTGATTTCCGAGGGAATTAATTCCGTCGGAAGCTGCGATTAATAAAAAAAACGCAACCATCTGCTTCTGT